TGACTTGAGCCTGGGAAATGGGGTTAGCTAGGAATCAGGATTTTTTGAAATAGCATTTATTGGTGATATCATGGGAATATAGAAAAGATCAAATTTAGATCAGCTGTATCTTATTACCCAAAGAGAATTATTGTTGTATATTCGTAGATTTCCTTTTCGGTCTTTTTTTTTTTTTTTTTTTTTGAGACGAGTCTTTGCTCTGTCACCAGGCCTAGTTCAGTGGTCCTGTTGATCTCAGCTCACTGGCAACCTCTGACCCTGGTTCAAGTGATTCTCCCTGCCTCAGCCTCCCGAGTAGCTGGCATTACAGCATGTGCCACCACACCCCAGCTTAATTTTGTATTTTTAATAAGACAGGGTTTCACCATGTTGGCCAGGCTGGTCTTGATTTCTGACCTTGTGATCCGCCCACCTCGGCCTTCCAAAGTGCTGGGATTACAAGTGTGAGCCACCACGCCCAGCTTTTTTTTTTTTTTTTTTTTTTAAAAAAAGAGTCTTGCTTGCCCAGGCTATAGTGCAGTGATGTGATTGCTAGCTTACTGAAGCCTTGAACTCCTGGGCTCAAGCAATCGTCCACCTCAGCCTCCCAAGTAGCTGGGACTATAGGCAAGTGCCATCATGCCTAGTCTTTCAGTCTTTTTTATTTTTTTTTTTTTTTTGAGACAGTTCTCCACTCTATCGCCCACGCTGGAGTGCAGTGGCGCCCATCTCCGCGCTCTGCAAGCTCCACCTCCCGGTTCACGCCATTCTCCTGCCTCAGCCTCCCCAAGTAGCTGGACTACAGCGCCCACCACCTCGGCCTGCTAGTGATCCGCCTGCCTCCGCCTCCCAAAGTACTGGGATTACAGGCGTGAGCCACTGCGCCTGGCGTTTTTTTTTTTGTTTGTTTGTTTTTTTGTTTTTAATAGTGACAGGATCTCACTGTGTTGCCCAAGCTGGTCTTGACTCTTGGACTCAAGTGATCTTTCTGCCTTGGCCTCCCAAAGTGCTGGGATTATAGGTATGAGCCACCATGCCCAGCCTCGAGTCTTTTTTTAATGCATAGAAACATTTTAATAAAATTAGCACATTTATACATTTGTATATCCTGGTTTTTTCAAGCAGTTTTGTTTCATGAGTATTTTCCATACCATTAACTCTTTTAAAATGTTAATTTTTAAGTGACTGATATCCATCATGTTAAGGTATTGTAGCTTACTTGGGTTGTCTCTAATGTTTTCCTATTAGAAGTAAGTGTAGGGACCTCCTAGTTTTATGTCTGACCCTGTCAATCCCAGCCAGTATGACCACACGTACGTCCAGCTGTGAAGTCTCTATCTGACTGTCCCCTTCTGTCTTCCAGATTGTTTGCTACATGAGGAGAACTTCTCGGTGAGGTGCCCTAAGCACAAGGTGAGTCAGAGGCCCCAAGAGCTACTAGCAGGGATGGGATCAAGGGTGGCTCCTCCTGAAAGATCTGAAGACCAGATGGTGGGCCTCACCCATGCCTGTCCCCACCTGTGCCTCTAACTGCCAGTCCACTCCTGGCCCTGGGAGGGTGGAGGGGCATGATGCTGAAGGGAGACCCGTGGCATGGGGACCAGCACTCGGAGTAGTATGAGATCCCAGGAGAAATGTGTTTTGGAAGAGTTGGTGTTTGTCTGTTCATTAAGAGAGGCGAGAATATCTAACTCGACCAAGCCACCGATTTCCACTTGAGGTGAATAGAACCCCAGTTCACAGGTTGGAGTTTGGTAAGTCTGGTTCTAGACCTTGAGGCCCGTACAAAGGCATCTTCCCAGACTAGAAGTCAAGCTGACCCCAAGGCTCTGGGGAAGCTCACAGTCTCTTTGAGGTTGTGCTTTTGCAGAAGCAGCCTGATGCGCAGTGGATGGGCTGCCTCGACTCCACTTCCCAGTTTATTTAGGAGGTGGTCTCGTGGTCGCTTCCTTTAGGAAAGGGTGGGAGGTGAGGGGTGAATGGCCTGTTTGTGGATACCACACATGTGTATGGGGAGGGTGTATACGGAGAAGGAGCCCCAAGAAAGGACCAGAACGGAGACCACTGCCACCTGATGTTTCCTGCAGGGGCTGCACCGTGTCTCTGGCTGAGGTCACACTGACACCTGGTGGTCACTGGTCACTCACAGTCTTAAATCTAGTAGGGCCGAAAGTACTAGGAGGAGGTTGTCCAGAGAGGTCTGCCCTCAAAATGCTCCTGAAAGATGCTTGCTTATGCTTTTCTTTAAAAATTATTTCCAGGGAGGGGTGGTCACAGGATCTTATATTCTCTTTATTTTTACTTAATTTGCATGTTATTTTTAGAACTCCCCTTTTTAAGGGTCACATTTTGCCTCAGAAAACCCTGTCTGAATGTCTCCTGTTGTCGGTCAGGACTGACTCTGCCTTTTGTTTCCTTTTCCGTGTGCCACTCCTGTCCTCCCTCTGCCCTCCCTGATTTCCGCACTGTCCTCTCCCACCTGTCTGTCTGTCTCTTGGTTTTGCCTGTGTCAGCCTCCCCTTCCGTGCCCTCTCCCCACCTTGCAGAACAAGACCGCGAAAGGCAGCCTCAGCACAGAGCAGTCGGAGCGGGGGTGAGGGGGGCAGTGTGCTCGTGGGAATGGAAAGGACAGCAAGCACAGGTGAGTCGGGGCCACTGGGCTCCCTGTACCCTGCCCGGCTCCCAGCGGGCCTTGTTGCCTCTGCCCTCCTGCTCGCTCCATGCTCTGCCGCCAGCATTTCATCCTATGGATGACACCACCAGGTGGATGCAGTGTTTTTCCATTGGTTACTTAGCTCCCTAGAATATCTGTGGAAAAGAGTTGGGGCCTTCTAAACTGTCCACTGCTGATGGGGTGCAGGGTGACTGTTCCTGAAGGCAGCCCTTCAGGGCACAGCTAGCCAGGGGTGGCCTTGTGAGTGGACACAACAGGCTTTTAGGTCTCTTCCTCGGGCAGGGCACCTCTTGCCAGTAGCCCCTGCTCTTTCTCCCATCTCAGAAAGGGTTCTACTCAAAGGTCTCTTCTCTTTAATTTGCTCCATTACTGTAAAGCTTATGGTGTGTTTTCCTTTGAAAACAACAGAACTCTTGGGTTTTGTTATTTGAAATCTTTTTTTTCCAGTACTTTGAAGGATTCCTTTTTGCAGAAGTACAAAGGAAAGAAAAATCCTCAAAGATTTAGTAGACTTTAGTATCTGATTTAATTTTACTCTTAAAAATCTTGAGGCTGGGTATGGGGCTTCTACCTATAATGCCAACACTTTGGGAGGCTGAGGCAGGAGGATCACCTAAGCTCAGGAGTTCAAGACCAGCCTGGGCAACAGTGACACCCTGTCTGTACATTTTAAAAAATATTAACCATGCATGGTGGTGCGTGCCTTTAGTCCCATCTACTCAGGAGGCTGAGCTGGGAGGATTGCTTGATCAAACCTGGAGGTTGAGGCTGCAGTGAGCCGTGATCGTGCTGCTGCATTCCAGCTGGGCCACAGTGAGACCCTGTCTCAAAAAAAAAAATTATTGTGATTGAGTTGTGCTTGCTGTGAGTTTGTGTGGGATTGTGGTCACGGCCTTCGGCAGGCATCTATGAAAACAGGATGATAGGACTTGGGTCTCTAGAAGCTGCAGGCCTCTGAGCTCCATGTTGCTCCTTCACCCTCCCTTCCTCACTGAGGCATGAGGGGAAATAGGTTGTAAAGAAAAGAAAAACAAAAATGTACCTTGTGGCACTTACTGCTACAGGATGGGGCAGGAGGACTAGTTGTCTCAGAAATATTCATTGAGGGGTCATTTCTCTCAAATGGGAGGACTTCTGTGTCAACCTCAGGAGTTTGACTCACACAGCTACGCTAGACCTGTCCCTTCCGGCACCACCATGTGCCTGATCACCTTCTGGAACATGCCCTCCCCCTTGTTACCACTACTAATTTCCAGAGAAGGCCCCTGGGCTGCCGCACCATTTGAGAAGTCAGGTGCTAAGTGCCTTCTTGATAGAGCATTGAGTGTAGTGCCTTTCCTCTTTCCTCTTCCAGGGAGTAGGGCTGGCAGTGGAGGGATCAGAGCAAAGTGGGGGAGGTGGGTGGAAGCCATTCCATGTGTTCCTGGGTCAGAGGAATCAGATGAGCAAATGAAGCCTCTTGACCTTGGAGTACATTGCCACCATCAGCGAGTGACTGCTGGTTTTCCAGAACCTGCTGGGCAGCACTGCCTGCCTGCCCGCCCTTGCTCCTTTCCCTGGGATTAGCCCTCAGGGAAAGGCAGCCATTGCATTGGATGGTTTTGAAAGGACTGTTTTGTGTTGGCCCTCCTGCATCTCCTGAGGGTGCCACTGTGCCTTTCCATTGTCGCCCCTCTGCCAGCACAGGCCCAGATGGTTAGAGTCGAGTTCTGTAGGGGACCATGATGTTGTATTCCTGGAATGTGTCCTAGAAGACCTGGTTAAGGAAAGAGCTTAAGTGTTTTTTGTTTTTATCCTGGAATTGCATCTGTTAGAAAAAAGGGTTGGGCCCTGGGTCTGGGGGACAAATCTCTTGGGGATTTTGTTTATCATCTGTTCCTCTCTAGTAATTCTTGGGCCTTCCTTCCTACCTGACAGGGCCCTTGACTCTTTTTTTTTTTTTTTTTGAGATGGATTCTCGCTATGTCGCCCAGGCTGAAGTGCAGTGACCCAATCTCAGCTCACTGCAGTCTCCATCTCTGGGGTTCAGGCAATTCTCCCGCCTCAGCCTCCCGAGTAGCTGGGACTACAGGTGTGCACCACCCCGCCCAGCTAATTTTTATATTTTTTGTAGAGACGGGGTTTCACCCAGACTGGCCTTGAACTCCTCACATCAAGTGATCTGCCCACCTTGGCCTCCCAAAGTGCTGGGATTACAGGTGTGAGCCACCGTGCCTGGCCAACTCTTCAACAGAACAATGAGCTTCATCCTTCTGGGTTGAAGCACAGTGATGAAGTGGCCTCACCCATTATAGAGTCGTCTCAGGTCCATTGAGGTTGAACCATTCAGCTCTTGGAGGGAGAGGATAGACGCACTGCATCCAGTCCTGTCCATCTGAAATGTTTTTTATGTGCTGTTCCCACAAGGCAGATACCTTTTCCTGGTTTCCCAGTTCAGCAGAGTGACATTGAGGGTGGTCACCATCCTTCATTTGTGGTAGAAGCCCTGGTGACTGGGGTTGGAATCACACCTCTAACTAAAGGAGGGCTCATCTTGGGCCCCATGCTGGGGACAGAGAGCCACCATTATTGGGTGCCCTCACAAGGCAGGGAACAGACAGTGGATGTGCATGTGTGTCTGCCTCCTGGTGCGCCATGTTCTGACAGAGTGGTTTGATAGGTACTGTGTGACTAAAGTCAGACCACTCCATATCTCTGTGCTTCAGTTTGTTCTGTAAAAACAGGAATAGCAGTGCCAACCTTGTGAGATTCCCTTGGGAAATGTCTTTAAGTGCCAGCACAGCACACTGACTCTCAGCCTGTTGGTCTGCCATGCCTAGCTGTGGGTTTCTCATGGGAGTTGGAGAGGTCAAGGCAGCAGATTGAACCCTCTAGCTGTCTCTTATAGCAAAAAATACCCAAGACTTGGGGTTAAAAGATGCTGCCCCTGCCTCCCAGCATGTGACGTACCTGGTACCCGACCCTCGCCAGGAGTGCAGAGGGGAGAAGTCCTTCCACAGGCCTGTGGTTGCCCACTGTCTCCTTCTGCCAAGGTGGATTGTCTTGCTGGCTTGTGTCATTGGTTGGCAGGGCTTTTGACAGTGGAAGGCCCAGCTCTTCCTCCTGTCATGAATTAAACAAGGAGGCCCCAGCTTCCCCTAACAGGCCCTGTGGTCCAGCACATGGGAACCTATAACCTTGATCAGGGCTAGTGCTGCATCCTGGATGCTACATACCCTGCAAAGAACAGCCATGGATGGAAGCTGAGCAAGGCGGGGCACGGGGAGTGGCGCCCCTGCCCCTGGAACTGGATGTCACACAGCCCATTTGTGTATGAATGAATGTCACATTCTAGATTACCTTTTTCCCAGACTGGTCTAGAGGTGGTCCGGGATTATACCTCCAGAGGAGAGCCCAAGTCTGTCCACTTTCTTTCCCCACCAGCACCAGCCCAGGCATTGCAGCTTCTATAGTGCCCGCCTCCCTGCCAGTGCTCAGTAGCCAAGTGCAATCTTCATTAGGCCTCCCTCCAGTCCTGTCTCTTCTCTACGACAGAGATTCTTGTCATCTTCCAAATAAAGTCCAAACGTCTCACCTTGCCTCCAGAGCCCTGTGGAAGTCTCAGGTGACTCTCCAGGCCCCTGGCCTCCTCTACCTCCTCAGGGGGCAGGCTGCCTCCCTCTGGGCTTCTGCACACACAGTTCCTTGTGCTGGAAACACTTTAGCTCCCCGTCTTCATGTTGCAAACAGGCTGCATCTCCTGAGTCCCAGCTTAAATGCCGCGTCCTCAGAGAAGCCTTTCCCTTTCTAAATCCTTGTTTCCATTGCCGCTCTCCTCACTTGCAGCCGTCCTAGCCTCACCACAATTTCAGATCGTTTACTTGTTTACTACCTGTCTCTCCAATAGAAGGTAAGCTCCACATGGGCAGGGACCACATCTGTCAAAGCCTAGCCCAGAGCGGTGCATGTAACTATGCTAGTGCCAGGTGAGTCTGTGTTAAAGAAATGAGTGCATCCCAGGCCGGGCGCAGTGGCTCACACCTGTAATCCCAGCACTTTGGGAGGCCGAGACGGGCAGATCACGAGGTCAGGGGACGGAGATCATCCTGGCTAACATACAAAAATACAAAAAATTAAAATACGAAAATACTAAAAATACTAAAAGTTAGCTGGTCGTGGTAGCAGGCACCTGTAGTCCCAGCTACTCGGGAGGCTGAGGCAGGAGAATGGCGTGAACCTGGGAGGTGGAGCTTGCAGTGAGCCTAGATCGCACCGCTGCACTCCAGCCTGTGTGGCAGAGCGAGACTCACATCTCAAAAAAAGAAAAAAATAAAAAAGAAATTAGTGCCATCCCAGAGAAGAAAGGGCTCTTGGACCCTGACCATCAGTGCCCTAAATCAGTATAGATTCAGAATTAGGTTTCTCTTCACATCCTTCCTCTCTAGTCAGAATTAATGTCTATTTTAGAAATGAGGAAATGGGCTCTGGGCAAATCCTGGCCAGAGTGAGTGGTGTTGAGATGATGAGTTTTTGCTGCAATTGGAAAAGGCAGGCTTGGAGTCTGATATGGAAGAACATGAGGACGGCGTCCCAGGTTCAGGCCACACATGAGGCCAAAGGGGAGCAGAAAGGACAGTGTGAGCGAGAAGGGAATGGGGGAGGGAACAAGTGAGAGAGCCTGGGAAGGTGTTGGCCCAAGACGAAACCCTGGATGCTGGCAGCTGAGCAGCAAGATGACGTTCTTTAAAAGAGAATTGACAGTCTTCAGCATAGGGGCGGCAGGTCACTCCTGCTGCTCAGGCCAGCTGGCACCACGGCTGCTCCCAGGCTCGCTGTCTGGGGTCCAGCCGTCTCTCAGCCATACCCCATGCCCTAGGACATGCAGCTCCTAGGACCCAGTCAGGAAAGCCCCAGTCCCACCTCTGGCCATATCGCTTTGGGCTACACCTGTCGCCTTCCTGAGCTTCAGCTCTTGAAGATGGGGGTCAGGCAGGTCCACGTGAACTAATCCACTGTGAACTAATATCTGTAAAGCTTCTAGCCCAGCGCCTTTCTGGAATTTTCCTTCCTAATTTCCCTACTGAAGGAACAATATTTTTAAAGCAACTCTTGAAAAGTTAGAGTCCCATTACATTCAGGATATCATGTGTTTGGGCTAGTCTAGTCGTCAGACCTGGGGAACACTCCCTGTTGGGAAGGCTGTGGAGGGCAAAGCCCCATGCTGCAGGTGCTGAAGAACTGCTGCTGCCTGGGCCATCATGCACCCCAGGGAGGGGCCCACAGGTAGCAGCTCACAGAGTCAACTGGCCAGGCAGACCCTGGCTGCTGACGTACGCTTCATTCTTCAGTGGGGAGCTGGTGTGGGGTCCTGTTCTTCTGAGTAATGAGCAAGATTGGGGTGCGGGCCCAAGACTGCTCTGTACTCGTAAAGAGGGCAAACCCTGCCCTGTCCCCTCCATGAGCAGAGCCTGGCAGGGTACTTGTGGGCATTGACTTTGATTCCCACGGGCATCCTGCAACCCCAACAAGATGACACGCTTCTGTGTTCCTGGAGGGAGGTGCCCATTAGCTCAGCTGCTGGCCTGCATTCCCAGGGCCTGCTTTTACTTGGGTGTGGTGGTGATGTGTCGTGGCCTCCGTGGAATGTGTTCCTGCTCATTGGTGTTACCTGCCAAGTAGTCAGGAACTTCCGTGGGCAAGAGCATGTGCATGTATGTGCTTGGGAATAACTCAGTCTTAGCTCCTGCAGGCCCCAGCCTTCTTAGCAGTTCTGTGTGTGTAAACTTTATGGAAGCAGAAAGGGCTGGTGACACCTGGGTTCCTGGGGTTTATTTGTAAGGGGAGGACACCAAATTGGGCTTGAGGAAGCAGTTAGGTGAGCCCCAGTGACAGTCTTAAGCACAGTGATTGGCAGATAGCAAGTGAAGGAGGGGCGAGGCTGCCATCACTTCTGGTTTCTGGTGAAATTTTACTGGACTGATTCCTTGGAAACTGCTGTTTCTCTTTGAGACCTTTCCATATAGGATGGCCCATGAAGCATTCCACAGGGACCTTTGGTATAATCCATCTGTCCTATGTGGGCCATCAGAATCCCCTTCTGCACCTGGGCTGGAAGAGGAGAGAAGCCCCCCAGCCTGGGGATGGGAGACCTAGGGTTCTCAGGCTCCTGAGAGGTCGAGAGGATTAACATAGTCCCGCTCTGTCTGAGCCTCAGAAATCCTGCCCTCCCTGTTAGAGGCCATGGGAAGAGCATTCTTTTTAAGCATGAAGAACTGACTGTGGGCCAGGCCTAGTGGCTCATGCCTGTAATCCCAGCACTTTAGGAGGCCGAGGTGGGCAGATCACCACCCTGACCAACATGGCGAAACCACATCTCTCCTAAAAATACAAAAATTAGCCGGGTGTGGTGGTGTGCACCTGTGATCCCAGCTATTCGGGAGGCTGAGGCACAAGAATCACTTGAACCCAGGAGGCGGAGGCTGCAGTGAGCCAAGATCATATCACTGCACTCCAGTCTGGGCAACAGCAAGATTCTGTCTCAAAAAAAAAAAAACTTTGTCATTAGCTGAGGATGGTGGCGTGTACCTGGTAGTCCCAGCTACTTGGAAGGCTGAGGTGGGAGGATTGCTTGAGTCCCGGTCAAGGCTGCAGGGAGCTGAGGCGACAGAGTGAGATTTGTCTCAAAAACAGCTAGCTGTGTGTGTCGACTAGAGGCAACTGTGAAATTGTCCTAAGAGGCTGGACTTCGAGAAGGTTCTTCCACAGATTGACCAGGTACTGTAGGTTTCAGTCACAGCTGGGGTCCGACACTGGCAAAACCCCACCAGCTGCCCCACAATTGGGGGCTTGCCCTGAGGTCAGGGAGTTCTCTGCTGTCCTGGTTCCTTTATGCACTAGGAAGGCAGATATACCCTGAGGAGCCCTCAAAGTCTGGCCCCAGCACCCCCACTAGGTCATTGCTGCCTTTAATCACATTCCAGATCCAAAGCCACACAGTGGCCCCAGCATTGGTCTCGGGTGTGTCCCACACCAGCAGCACATCTACAGAGGGGTCTGAGTGCAGGCTTCCTACTGAAAGCTCCCAGGGGTACCATGGAACAGCGGCTGTTGGTGGTGGACCCTGTGGAGGCTCCTGGCCTTCAGTGTCTGTCCCTTGTCTTCCAGGTGAGACTGTGGAGATGAGAAGGTGGTGGACACTCGTGATGGAATGGAAATCGTCCTACCGTGCAGCCACACCCTGCCCCGCCCCGCCCCGCCCCGCGTGCCTGCCCATGCCAGCACTTCCTTCCTAAGTTCTCACATCACACTCAAACCGGTGACACCACGGGAAAGAAAGACCCAAGACGTTGGAATGGCTGTTTCCATGGACACAATCTCCATAGTGACAATGTGGGGGGAGGGGGGAGGGGTGGGATGACGGGGAAAGGGTGGGGGGAATTAAAAGGGAGGGATAAAAAATATATATATATAAATCTATTTTTAGTCTGGAAAGACTTTGTTTAAATGAAAGGTGCGCTATCCCTTTTGATTCTATTTTAAAATTATCTAGTTAAAGATCTCCAAATTTGTTCTGATGACAAGTGAAATTTAAATGTGAAATTGAACTGAACAAACCCTCATCTCATAAAGGACGGGGTGTGTGTGGCTTTGATCTTTAGCCTGTCTCACACCAGTTCAGAGAACACTAGACCCAGGATTGAAAAAGCAGGAAAACCACACCAGAACCATCCTTTTGTCATTAATTTGTCTCAAAGTGGGAAGGTTTTAGGGGGAGGGGGAAATATAGGGACGGTCCATGTTTTCAAGAGCAGGGGAATGATGTTTAAACACAAAAATAATTTTTTTTCATTTCCAGAAACACTATTTATTTATTTTTTTTAACTTTTTCTTTTTGGGGGTGAAATTGGCAGATGCCTGAGGTCATAGCTGTGTCCTGGGTCACTGTGGCTGGTGAGGACCCTAAGTGTACACAGCAGCAGCAAAACCGAGGGATGACCCTCCTCTGGGGCCCCCTGTCCTCAGCACATTCCAGGCAGCTGTGCCCTGACCCACAGGTACCCGTGGGGATGAGAGGAGGCCCAGGCCTGTGCTGCCAGAGCCGGCAGTGTGAGCTGTAGGCAGGGACGGGGAGGGACTGTCGCTGTGATCAGAGTGGGTTAAGCTGACCAGGAACACCCATTTAGCCCCTTTTTCCTTTTGCTTTCATTTTTATAAAGGAAAAGAGGACCTGTCAGATAGGCAGCCCCATGCTACGTGATTCTTTATGTTGTGTTGTTTTGTTTTGTTTTGTAAATTGTATAATTTTTAAATATCTGAGTTTTAAAAAAAGAAAAAAGTACAAAAAAATCTTGTTATGGCCTTAAGAAGGGGTTAGTGCATCTTTCAGGGGTCACTCTGCCATGGGGATAAAATAGCTGTTTCACAAACAGTTTTATTTAAAAAAACAAAAAACAAAAAAAATCAAAAAATCAAAAAAATAATAAACTTCATTTTAACCTTGTTTCCTTCTTTTGTTTAATTTAAAGCGAATGCGTCTCTTCCTTCTCCCATTCTAACCCCCAAAGGGTAGCTCTGGTTCTCCAGAGGAGGCCATGATCAGATCCGGTCTGTCCCATTCCTAGCCTCTCGATGGCCACGCAGTTGGGAAGCAAACAAAATTCAGGGTTCTTCCGCCACTCCTCTGGGCAGGTAGAGTGTGGCCAGTGTATGGGGACAGTCAGATTTATTCAAGTTGATATGAAGACATATTTCCAATCAACATTAAGGGTTATAAAAAAATAATGGAATGTTAATGGACTTTTTTAGAGAGTAGAAATACTGGAAGGAATGTTGTGAAGTAGAAATAAGCAATTATAAATGAGTTCTGTGTTCATCAATTTAGGGCAGCAGAAATGGCAGATTAATGGTGTTTTAATCGCTACATGAAGCAGTCCATTTCTCATTTCACTCCGCCAGGATGGAGGTGCGGGTGGGTGCGTTGTGTCGGCCATAGGACCAAACTTGGGCAACTGAACAGGACCTGCATAGAAATGATGGCTTTTTTGAGCTAGTTGCATTCTCATTCTGGTCTTGGCATTAATACAGTTAAAATGATAGATTTCAGGTGTCAAGGGCTAAACCACAAAACTTGAAAAATACGTATCTTGAGGAAAATATTTTCCTGACAGCAAATGTTTGTCATTTTGCCTTTTATTGTTTTGTCCCCTTTTGATTGGCTTGAGTGGAGTACTTGCGATTGTTCTAGGTCTTTCCTTAAATTGACTTCAGAAATGACCTTCACTGGGGAGTGGCAGTGATACGCACATGCCTCCTGACTCGCTTCTGCCTTCTGCAGTTCGCCTCAACTGCTCAAGTGCCTTTTAGTTCCTTCAGTGTTTTGATTGATTTTGTTAAAGCAGTTTTATGTTCACAGCAGGATTAAGCTGAAGGTACAGAGAGTTCCTATATAACCCCTTACCCCTATATGCATACCTTTCCCTCTATCAACATCCCATCCAGAGTGGCACGTTTGTTACAACTGATGGATACATTGTTATCACCCAAAGTCCATAGTTTATACTAGGGGCCACTCCTGGTGGTGTACATTTTATGACTTTTGACAAATGTGTGAAGACCTGGATCTGGCAGGGCGTGGTGGCTCATGCCTATAATCCCAGCATTTTGGGAGGCTCAGGTGGGCAGATCAAGGCTTGAATTCGAGAACAGCCTGGGCAAAACCCCCTCTCTACATAAAAATACAAAAATTAGCCGGGCGTGATGATGCACGCCTGTAGTCTCAGCTATTTGGGAGGCTGAGATGGGAGAATCGCTTGAGCCCAGGAGGTCGAGGCTACAGTGAGCTGTGATCGTGCCACCACACTCCAGCCTGGGCAACAGCAAAATCCTGTCTCAAAAAAAAAGACGTGGACCCACCATTACCCAGAGTAGTTTCACTGCCCCAGGGATCCTCTGTCCCACTGTTCATTCTTCCTTCCCCCCAGTCCCTCACTACTGAGCCTTTTTCCAAAGTTACGCCTTTTCCAAAGTGTCATATAGTTGAGATTATATAGTAGGTAGCCTTTTAGATTGGCTTCATCCACTTAGTAATGTGCATTTAAGGTTCAACCATGTCTTTTCATGACTTGATAGCTTGTTTCTTTTTAGTGATAAATAATTCCATTGGCTGTACCACAGTTTATCCATTCACCTGCTGAAGAACATCTTGGTTGCTTTCAAGTTCTGACAACTAAAGATGAAGCTGCTGTAAACATCCCTTTGCAGGTTTTTGTGTGGGCATAAGGTCTCAACTCCTTTGGGTAAGTACAGGAAGCACAGTTGGTGGATTGTATGGTAAGAGTATGTCTAGTTTTGTAAAAAATTGCCAAACTGTCTGGATCACCTGAGGTCAGGAGTTTGAGACCAGCCTGGCCAACATGGTGAAACCCTGTCTCTACTAAAAGTACAAAAATCAGCCGGACATGGTTCATGCCTGCAGTCCCAGCTACTCGGGAGGCTGAGGTGGGAGGATTGCTTGAACCTAGAAGGCAGAGGTTCCAGTGAGCTGAGATCACACCACTGCACTCCTAGCCTGGGTAACAGAGTGACTGAGACTCCGTCTCAAAAAAAAAAAAAAAAATTGAAGAATGGAAAATAAATTGCCAAACTGTCTTCCAAAGTATCTGTACCATTTTGTACTCCCACCAGCAATGAATGAGAGTTCCTGATGGTCCACATCCTTGCCAGCATTTGGTGGTGTCAGTGTTCTGGATTTAAGCCATTCTAACAGGTGTGTATGTGGCCATTTATTTTTTGAATAACTTTAAAAGTTTTTAAATTGTGGCTAAAAAAATTTACCATCATAACAGTTATGGTACAGTTTAGTGGTGTTAAGTGTGTTCACATTGTTGTGCAACCAATCTTCAGAACTTTTTCATTTTATGAAACTGAAACTTTACCCATTAAACTGCCCCCCTGCAGGCCCATCCTGCCCCTGGACTTTCCATCTCTGTTTCTAGGGTACAGGCAGCCCTCAGTACCCACAGGCTCCACATCCACAAACTCAGCCACACATCGAAGATACTTGGAAAAAAAAGTATAACAACTAAAAATACAAATAAGAGCAGTACAGTATAGCAACTATTTACGTAGTATTTACACTGTATTAGGTATTATAAATAATCTAGAGATGATTTAAAGTATACAGGAGCATATCCATAGGTATACTATGCAATTTTACATAAGAAACTTGAGCATCCTTGGATTTCGGTATTTACCGGGGATCCAGGCACCAATCCCCTCCAGGATACCCAGAGATAACTATTCCACTGCCCATAATCCCACCCCCTTGCAGCTGTGGAAACTCAGAGGTGCTGCTCTGAGGGCAGACCCTGCCACTCAGCACTCGGGGATGAGTCAGACCCAACAGAAAGCTGTCCCATGGGAGGAGCTGGGAATTGGAGGGTCCCTCCCAGTGGCATTGCTGTGCCTGGCAGGGGGAAGGGCAAGAACAAGTAAAATGCTCAACTTTACTACCCTTCCAGTGCAGTCCCTTCCTGGCTCTGCGTCAGCTGGCATTGCAGCGTCCTAACTAGTCTCTAGAATTCTCACAATGATGTTTTGGTTCCTATAGCTTTGTTAACCCTGAGCTCTCCAGGAGAATGAGCCCGGAGTTTCCTAGTCTACCACTTGCTGATGTATTTTCACACCGTCTCACTTGGCAATGTCCAGAGGGCCTGCCAGGGCACAGTGCACTTTTCACCGTGGCACAAGCAGTCCCAGTGTTGAGGAAAGGCAGGTTGGATCTGTTCCCTAAAAATAATCCCAGAAACTTCTATACCGACCATTAATAGAATGTAATGTCCAAACAGTATAGAGTAGTAGCTCAGCGTACACTTTAGACGTGGACTCTAACCTCGCTCTGTGACTTGAACTTTGTTATGTAATCTCTGAACCTCGGTCTCTGCCTTGGGGACCATAAAACCACCTCCTTAGGGGGCTGTGGGAGGATTAATGAGCTGGAGCACACACAGTCTGACCAGCAGTTTCTGGCACATAAGTGCCCTATCAGTGGAAGCCACAGGTGCACAATGATTGGAAAAGGCCATAGGCATCATTATCGAAAGTTTTCCTCATGCTGCTGTATCTTGAATTACAGGCCTCTGGCTGGTAAAGAGGGCACTCGGGAGGACACTGCCTACGTTGCAGGCATGCCTGTCCCTGCCATTCATACCCCCATCATGATGACTGCTTGAGCGGGGGGTCTGACACCTCAAAAGGCCAAGAGTGCATACAGGTAATGTATAAAGGGCCACCGGTCCGTGCACCTTGATTCTCTCACAGTCCGAGGTAGAAGGGTGCTGCCACATAGGACAGGAACATTCATTCAGTTGAGGCCAATTTGGGAGGCCACAAGCCAGATCTGAGAAGTCCCCAGATGGACATGGGTCTTGCTCTCTTTGTCAGTTGAGTGGCCTCAAAACTTCTGTTGGGCCAGGTGGCTCATGCCTCTAATCCCAACACTTTGGGAGACCAACGCAGGAGGATCACTTGAAGCCAGGAGTTCAAGACCAGAGTGGGCAACATAGTGAGAACCCATCTCAACAAAAAAATTAGCCAAGCATAATGGTGTGCACCTGTAGTTCCAGCTACTTGGGAGGCGAAAATAGGAGGATCTCTTGACTGAGCACAGGAGTTTGAGGCTGCAGTGAGCTTTGATCACACCTCTGCACTCCAGCGTGGGCAACAGAGCAAGCCCCTGTCTCTCAAAAAAACTTTTTAATTTTTTTTTTTTTTTAATTTTAAATAAACTGTTCTCCCTGCCTTTTGTTCCCCAGATCCAGTCTTCATCCAGACCTGAAAAGACCTAGGCTCCAGCTGCCGGCCTCCTGCTGCCCCTCAGGCCACCTGCACAGGAAATTCCAGGGGTGGCTTTTTCCCACTGTCAGTGCTGTGGCCTACAGTGCTAGGCAGCCCCTCAGTCAGCTAGACAAAGTTCTCCATGAATCCTTCCCAGAAAGTCCTGTTCCAGCCTGGGGCGGAGTCCCCATGACCCTCATGGTACCACTGGCTTCTCATGTCAGCTATGTTACCTTCCTGCTCCTCAAGGTCGTGATTACGGTGGGGCATTGGTCCACTCACAGCCTTCCCGCCATGCTCCCAGTACACAGCTCAGCACCCAGTACAACCCATATCGCCAGCTTGGGTGGAGCTCATGCCAGGTCACTTCTCACCCATCACCCTAACCTGGGTAGGCACCAAGAGCAAGCAGCAGGGTCAAGGACCTCTGGAGCAGCCCCTACCCACCCTGGCCTAACCCTGCACCCACTGGCAGCACAGTCAACACAGCAGGTTGGCTCACAGCAGAGGGCAAAGGCCATGATCAGTTTCCTTTATAAGGGAATGATCATGCACTTCATGTGCTGAGAGTGTCCTGCCTGGTCCTCTGTGGCTGGTGGGGTGGGGGAGCCAGGTGTGTCTAGAGGAGCCCAGTGGGCAGCAAGGCAGTCATGGGGCTGGATGCACTGGTGCCCCTGGCTGTGACAGTGGCCATCTTCCTGCTCCTGGTGGACCTGATGCACCGGCGCCAACGCTGGGCTGCACGCTACCCGCCAAGTCCCCTGCCACTGCCGGGGCTGGGCAACCTGCTGCATGTGGACTTCAAGAACACACCATACTGCTTCGACCAGGTGAGGGAGGAGGTCCTGGAGGGTGGCAGAGGTCCTGAGGATCCCCCACCAGCAGCAAACATGGGTGGTGGGTGAAACCACAGGCTGGACCAGAAGCCAGGCTGAGAAGGGGAAGCAGATTTGAGGGACTTCCTGGGGGAGGGCATTTATGCATGGCATGAAAGATGAGATTTTCCAAAGGCCAAGAAAAAGTGGGGCAAGGGCCTGGAGGTGGGGCTGGACTTGGCAATGGGCGTGCAATCCCATTGGGCAGCATATGTTATGGAGTACAAAGTCCCTTCTGCTGACACCAGAAGGAAAGGCCCTGGGAATGGAAGACAAGTCAGGGTCCTGAGTGCCGTTTAAATCAGGAAATCAGGCTGCGCGTGGTGCCTCACACCTGTAATCCCAGCACTTAGGGAAGCCAAGGTGGATGGATCACCTGAGGTCAGGAGTTCCAGACAAGTCTGGCCAACATGGCGAAACCCCGTCTCTACTAAACATACAAAAAATTAGCTGGGCACAGTGGTACATGCCTTTAATCCCAGCTACTCGGGAGGCTAAGGTAGAATTGCTTGAACCTAGGAGGCAGAGGTTGCAGTGAGCGGAGATTGTGCCATTGCACTGCAACCTGGGTGACAGAGCCACACAATGTCTAAATAAAAGAATAAGTAACAAATCAATGGCTGGGCACGGTGGCTCACACCTGTAATCCCAGCATCTTGGGAGACTGAGGCGGGGGAATCACAAGGTCAGGAGTTCGAGACCAGCCTGGCCAACATGGTGAAACCTGTCTCTACTAAAAATACAAAAATTAGCTGGGTGCGGTGGCGGGCACCTGTAATCTCAGCTACTCGGGAGACTGAGGCAGGAGAATTGCTTGAACCTGGGAGGTGGAGGTTGCAGTGAGCCAAGATCGCAACATTGCACTCCAACCTGGGTGACAGAGCCAGACACGGTCTAAAGAAATGAGTAAGTTAGAAATCGAGGATGAAGGGATATAGAAAAGGGTTCAAACCTTTTGCACTGTGGGTCTTCAGGCCTCACTGCTCACCGGCATGGACCATCAGCTGTAAAATGGGATGCTAACTGGGGCCTATTGGCAATTTCGGTGACTCTTGCAAAGTCATAGCTGGGTGACGCATTCAAACTGAGTTCCTCCATCATAGAAGGTGTGACCCCCACGCCCCAGGATCAGGAGGCCGGGTCTCCTCCTTGCACCTGCTCACTCCTGGTAGCCCTGGGGGTCGCCCAAGGCTCACTTGGGACTAGGACCTGCAGTCTGGGGGGACCCTGGCTTGACGGAGGCCCTGACTCTCCCTCTGCAGTTGCGGCACCGCTTCGGGGACGTGTTCAGCCTGCAGCTGGCCTGGACGCCGGTGGTCGTGCTCAATGGGCTGGCGGCCGTGCGTGAGGCGCTGGTGACCTGCGGCGAGGACACTGCCGACCCGCCCGCCTGTGCCCATCTACCAGGTCCTGGGCATCGGGCCGCGCTCCCAAGGCAAGCGGCGGTGGGGGACAGACACCTCGTTTCCGTGGGCCCTGAGTGGGCGGTGACCGTAGCCCAAGCTGGGCCGAGAGGGCGCGGGGTCGTGGAGTTGGGACACAGAAAAAGGCCAGAGAGTAGGCTGGGGACAGCGGACCGGGAAACCACTTCCACTGGGGAGGTGCGAGTGTGTGGGCGGGAGGAGGCGGGGCTTGTGGTGAGTGGGTGGGGCAACTGCACAGACCTGCCAGGATCCTGGTTAAGAGCAGCCCCAGCCTTTCCCAACTGGAAGCCGGTGTCCCAGCTGTGCTGCGGGCTCAATATGGGCAGGGCGGGGCGGGCGGGATCTTCCCTGAGTGGAAAGGCAGTCAGGGTCGGAAGAGCCAAGGTGGGGCCAAGACCCAAGCAAGGTAGGTGAGCAAAGAGCAGGCCCGGTGCCCTGCTGGATGCAGCAAGGGACCACGGAAGACCAGGAAAACCACAGGGTTGTAGTGGTCGGTGGAGGGCGGGGCCAAGGCCTTCATGGCCACGCCCACGTGTCCATCCCGCCCCCAGGGGTGTTCCTGGCGCGCTATGGCCCCGCGTGGCGCGAGCAGAGGCGCTTCTCCGTGTCTACCTTGCGCAACTTGGGCCTGGGCAAGAAGTCGCTGGAGCAGTGGGTGACCGAGGAGGCCGCCTGCCTCTGTGCCGCCTTCACCGACCAAGCCGGTGGGTGATGGGCAGAGGGGCACAAGGCGGGAACTGGGAAGGTGGGGGACGGGAAAGCGACCCCTGACCCGCATCTCCCGCCCCCAGGATGCCCCTTTCGCCCCAATGGCCTCCTGTACAAAGCGGCGAGCAACGTAATTGCCTCCCTCACCTGCGGGTGCCGCTTTGAGTACGACGACCCTCGCTTTCTCAGGCTGCTGGACCTAGCACAGGAGGGATTGAAGGAGGAGTCGGGCTTCCTGCGTGAGGTGCGGAGCGAGGGACCGCAGGGTCTCTGCAGGGCGAGCTCCTGAGAGGTGCCCGGGCTGCAGCAGGGCCTCAGAGGTGTGGGTTTGCATAGAAGGGTTTGGGAAAGGACATTCCAGGAGAGCTCACTGCTAGAGGAAGGGCCTGGAGGAGGAGGAGATATCTCAGACACCGTGAGGGGAGAGGTATGCCTGGGTCAGGGGGCACCAAGAAAGGCCAAGAACCCTGTGCCTCCTGTCCACATTAGAGATTTTTATTTTAGATTTCTCCTCTGGCAGCCCAAGGCAAGGAGAGATGGTGGAGGCTGGTACTTGAGGAGGAACTTGGGGAGGTCAGTGGTGGAGACAGGCCGGCCCTGGGTCTTCCCTGGAGACAGCTGGGGCCTGAGACTGGTCCAGGTGAACGCAGAGCACAGGAGAGATTGAGACCCTGTTCTGTGTCTGGTGTAGGTGCTGAATGCTGTCCCCCTCCTCCTGCATATCCCAGCGCTGGCTGGCAAGGTCCTACGCTCCCAAAAGGCTTTCCTGACCCAGCTAGATGAGCTGCTGACCGAGCACAGGATGACCTGGGACCCAGCCCAGCCACCCCGAGACCTGACTGACGCCTTCCTGGCAGAGATGGAGAAGGTGAGAGCGGCTGCCATGGTGGGGACCAAGGGTGGTGGGTTGAGCTCCTGGGAGGAATGAGGAGTGGCCAGGCAAAAGGTGGGGCCGCTGGATTACCTGGTGAGTGGCACCTGGGCTGACAGGTGCAGAATGGGAGGACGTTTGGGGGCTTTCCCGCTCTGTCCCCGAGTACCCTCTCGGCCCTGCTCAGGCCAAGAGGAACCCCGAGAGCAGCTTCAATGAAGAGAACCTGCGCATGGTGGTGGCTGACCTGTTCTTTGCTGGGATGGTGACCACCTCGACCACACTGGCCTGGGGCCTCCTGCTCATGATCCTGCACCTGGATGTGCAGCGTGAGTCCAGCTGGGGCCAAGTGCAGGGGGCAAGGGAGGAAGGGTACAGGCGGGAGCCCCTGAGCTTAGCTAGGACACCCAGGGCTCCCAGCACAGGCTTGACCAGTCTCCTGTAAGCCTGACCTCCTCCAACACAGGAGGCAGGAGAGGGTCAGGGCTGGTCCCCTGAGTGCTGACCCATTGTGGGTTCGCATGTCTGTCCAGGCCGTGTCCAACAGGAGATCGACGACGTGATAGGGCAGGTGCGGCGACCAGAGATGCGTGACCAGGCTCGCATGCCCTACACCACTGCCGTGATTCACGAGGTGCAGCGCTTTGGGGACATTGTTCCCCTGAATATGCCCCACATGACATCCCGTGACATCGAAGTGCAGGGCTTCCTCATCCCTAAGGTAGGCCTGGAGCCCTCCTCACCCCAGCTCAGCACCAGCCCCTGGTGGTAGCCCCAGCATGGCCACTGCCAGGTGGGCCCAGTCTAGGAACCCTTGCCACCCAGCCCTCAATGCCACCACATCAACTGTCCCAGCCTGGGTGTGGGGTGCAGAGTATAGGCAGGGCTGGCCTGTCCATACAGAGCCCCAGTCTAGTAGGGAAGACAGATCAGGACCTGCCAGAATATTGGAGGACCCCAGTGCCTGTAGGGAGAGGGGGCAGCGTGGGCGCCCCAGGAGGTGTGACTGCGCCCTGCCATGGGGTCAGAGAGGGTGCTCAGGAGCTTCTTGGGTGCTGGACTAGTTGACAGAGTCCAGCTGTGTGCCAGGCAGTATGTGTCTCCCGTGCGTTTGGTGGCAGGGGTCCCACCATCCTAGAGCCCAGTCCCCACTCTCACCCTGCATCTCCTTCCCAGGGGACGACGCTCTTCACCAACCTGTCATCAGTGCTGAAGGATGAGGCCGTCTGGGAGAAGCCCTTCCGCTTCCACCCCGAACACTTTCTGGATGCTCAGGGCCACTTTGTGAAGCCAGAGGCCTTCCTGCCTTTCTCAGCAGGTGCCTGTGGGGAGCCCGGCTCCCTGTCCCCTTCTGTGGAATCTTGCAGGGGTCCTGCCTGGGAGGCAGGCTCACTGACACCCCTCCCCTCCCCACAGGCCGCCGTGCATGCCTCGGGGAGCCCCTGGCCCGCATGGAGCTCTTCCTCTTCTTCACCTGCCTGCTGCAGCGCTTCAGCTTCTCGGTGCCCGCCGGACAGCCCCGGCCCAGCCACTCTCATGTCGTTGGCTTTCTGGTGACCCCTTCCCCCTACGAGCTTTGTGCTGTGCCCCGCTAGAGTTGGGCATCAAGCCCCCCGAACTTGCTCCTCAGCTGGGACCCTGTTGTACAGAAAATGAATCTAGTGGCTCCCACTTGGTTTCTGAATCCATTCTGGGCCCCTGCCAAGGTCCTGGTTGTGTTGAGTCACCTGCCTGATGTCAGCGCTCACCCCTCACCTGTCACCCTGTCACCTCATTCTTTTTTCTTTTTTTTTTTTTGGAGATGGAGTCTGCTCTGTCACCCAGGCTGGAGTGCAGTGGTGCAGTCTCAGCTCATTGCAACCTCCACCTCCCGAGTTCAAGCAATTCTCGTGCATCAGCTTCCCGAGTAGCTGGGATTACAGGCACCCGTTACCACCCCCGGCTAATTTTTGTCTTTTTAGTAGTGATGGGTTTCGCCATGTTGGCCAGTCTGGTTTCAAACTCCTGACTTCAGGCGACCCACCACCCTCAGCCTCCCAAAGTGCTGGGATTACAGGTGTGAGCCACCGAGACTGGCCTCACCTCATTCATTCTTACCTGGACACCTGACTTGACTTGAGATACAGGCATAGTGGTTCTCAGCAGGCAACAGCCTACCCCCACGTCACGCCCAGAGACCCATCACTGGCTGCCTGGCTTGGCAACAGTCCATGCATATGTCTTGGCTGGGTGGATATGAATAGGCATATGCCAGGAATCAGCCCATTCCCTGGCTAGGGTGGGAGACTGTGTTGTGGTCCCCCAGACCACCCTCAGGTTCGGTGATTTGCTAGAAGGTCTCACAGACCTAGAAAAGCTGTTATCCTTCCTGTTACAGTTTATTACAGAGAAGGGTACAGATTAAAGTCAGCAAAGATGAAAGGCACAGGGGCCACAGTCCAGAATAACCAGGCTGAGGCTGCAGCTGTCTTTCCTGGTGAACTCCTACAGGCAGTGCTTAATTCTCCCCCAACAGCAAGTGACGTAGAGAGCACTGCCAGCCATGGAAGCTCACCTGAGCCTTGGTGTCCAGGGTTTTTGTTGGGACACAAAAACCTAGGCTTGAGCCCCCCAACATGGCTGACCTCAGTTACTCAGTCTCTAGCCCCTCCTGAAGTCAGATGGATACAGGCCAAGGGCCCCACCCCCGGTCACATTGTTGGCATAAACTATGTTGTATGATCCAAGGCCCCAGCTATGTACAAAGGCACTATTTCAGGCAGGACATTCCAAGGCCTTAGCAGATATCTCCCAACAGCCTGTCAAGAGTCAGTTTGGACTCTTGGTCCAATGGTTTGCATTGTGCAAGGAATGACTTCCCCCGTTTTTACTACACAGGCCACCCCTCTTGGCTCTAACAGCAAAATGATACTAGTTTGAGCATCTGTGTGTGTGTGTATGTGTGTGTGTGTGTGTGTGTTTTGTTTTTTTGTTTGTTTTCTTGAGACAGGGTCTTGCTCTGTCACCGAGGCTGGAGTGCAGTGATGGCATCAGGGCTCACTGCAGCCTTGACTTCCTGGGTTCAAGCAATCCTCCCATCTCAGCCTCCCTAGTAGCTGGAACTGCAGGCACATGCCACCATGCTCCGCTAATTTTTTATTTTTTGTAGAAACGGGGTTTTCACCATGTTGGCCAGACTGGTCTCAAACTCCTGATCTCAGGTCATCTGGCTGCCTCAGCCTCCCAGAGTGCTGGGATTACAGGTGTGAGCTACTGTGCCCAGCCAAATTTCCTTCCTAATTTCTTCCTTGAACCACTGGTCATTCCAGAGCATATTGTTTAATTTTCACGTGTTTGTATAGTTCCCAGAATTCCTCTTGTTGATTTCTACTTTTATTCTGTTGTGGTCAGAGAAGATGCTTGATATTATTTTAACTTTTTTAATGTTTTAAGACTTGCTTTGTGACCTAACATATGGTGTATCCTGGAGAATGATCCATGTGCTGAGGAGAAGAACGGGTATTCTGCTGACTTTGGACAAAGTGTTCTGTAAATATCTAGTGGGTCCATTTGTTCTGTAGTGCAGATTAAGTCTAATGTTTTCTTGCTGGGCTTTCATCTGGGACGTCCGGCCAATGCTGAATGTGGGATGTTGAAGTCCCTCGCTATTATTGCATTAAGGTCTATCGCTTTAGCTCTAATAACATTTGCTTTATGTGCTCCAGTGTTGTGTGCATATATATTTACAATTGTTATATTCTGTTGCTGGATGACCTTCTTTGTCTCCTCTTGCAGTTTTTGTTTGTTTTATTTTGCTTGTGAGAGGGAGTCTCACTCTGTCACCCAGGCTGGAGTGCAGTGGCACAATCTCGGCTCACTGCAAGCTCCGCCTCCCAGGTTCAAGCCATTCTCCCACCTCAGCCTCCCGAGTAGCTGGAACTACAGGCACACGCCACCACGCCCAGCTAATTTTTTGTATTTTTAGTAGAGATGGGGTTTCACCATGTTAGCCAGGATGGTCTTGATCTCCTGACCTCGTGATCTGCCCACTTCAGTCTCCCAAAGTGCTGAGATTACAGGCGTGAGCCACTGTGCCCAGCCTATGTGTATCTTTATAGGTGAAGTGTGTGTCTTCTAGGCAACAAAGCATTGGGCCTTGCTTTTTCATCCATTCAGCTACTCTGTGTCTTTGTATTGGAGAGTTTAGTCCATTTACATTCAATGTTGTTATTGCTAAGCAGGGACTTACTCCTGCTGTTTTGTTATTTGTTTTCTCAGTGTTTTGTGGTCTTTTTTTTTTTTTTTTTCCTTCTTGTCTTTTAATGAAGGCGATTTTCTCGGGTGGTATGATTTAATTTCTTGCTTTCTTGTGTGTGTGTATCCATTGTGTGTTTTTTCTTTTTGAGACACAGTCTCACGTACTGTGTGCTTTTTGATTTGAGGTTGCCATGAGGCTTGCAAATATTATCTTATAACTCATTATTTTAAACTGATGACAACTTAACTCTGATTGCACAAACAAACATAAAGCAAAAAAAAACCTGATAAAAACTCTACACTTTAACTTCATCCCGGCGCTTTTTAACTTTTTGTTGTTTCTCTTTGTCTTTTTTTGTTTTTGAGATAAAGTCTTGCTCTGTTGCCCAGCCTGGAGTGCAGTGACACGATCTCGGGTCACTTTAACCTCCACCTCCCAGGTTCAAGTGATTCTCCTGCCTCAGCCTCCTGGGTAGCAGGCGCCCACCACCATGCCTGGCTAAATTTTTTGTATTTTTAATAGAGATGGGGTTTCACCATGTTGGCCAGGCTTGTCTCGAACTCCTGCCCTCAGGTGATCCACCTACCTCGGCCTCCCAAAGTGCTGGGATTACCTGCGTGAGCCACCGGGTCCAGCCTCTTTATGTCTTACTGTATTGTTTATGTCTTGAAAAGTACTTATTATTTTTGATTGGTTCATCATTTAATCTTTCTAATTAAGAGTAGTTTACACACCACAATTACAGTATTATAATACTTTTTCTGTGTGCTTACTATTACCAGTGAGTTTTGTACCTTTAGATGATTTCTTCTTGGTCATTAACATCCTTTTTTTTCAGATTGAAAAACTCCCTTTAGCATTTTTTGTGGGATAGGTCTGGCGTTGATGAAATCTCGCAGCTTTTGTTTGTCTAGGAGGGTCTTTATTTCTCCTTCCTGTTGGAAGGACATTTTTGCCAGATATGCTTTTCTAGGGTAAAAGTTTTTTTTCCCTTCAGCACTTTAAATATGTCATGCCACTGTCCCCTGGCCTGTAAGGTTTCCACTGGAAAGGTGACTACCCCATATCATGTATTGGAACTCCATTGCATGTTATTTGCTTCTTTTCTCTTGCTGCTTTTAGGTTGCTTTCTTTATCCTTGACCTTTGGGAGTTTAATTATCAGATGCCTTGAGGTCATCTTCTTCTTTGGGTTAAATCTGCTTGGTGTTCTATAAACTTCTTGTACCTGAAAGTTGATATCTTTCTCTAGGTTTGGGATGTTCTCTGTTATTATCCTTTTGAATAAACTTTCTACCCCTATGTCTTTCTATTTTTTTTTCTTTTTTTTTTTTAGGTGGAGTCTCACTTTGTCGCCCAGGTTGGAGTGCAGTGGTGCAGTCTTGGCTTACTACAACCTCTGCCTCCTGGGTTCAAGCAGTTCCCTGCCTCAGCCTCCTGAGTAGCTGGGATTACAGGACCCTGCCATGACGCCCGGCTAATTTTCATATTTTTAGTAGAGATGGGGTTTCACCATCTTGGCCAGGCTGGTCTCAATCTCCTGACCTTGTGATCCACCCGCCTCGGCCTCCCAACATGCTGGGATTACAGGTGTGAGCCACTGCACCCAGGCCCCTCTGTCTTTCTCTACCTCCTCTTTAAGGCCAATAACTCGTAGATTTGCCCTATGTTAATAACTTTAATTATGATTTAGTAATAGATTTGCCCATAGATTTAAAACTCTGATGAATTCTTCAGTATGTCAGTTGCATTTTTTAACTCTAGAATTTCTTCTGGATTCTTTTTAATTATTTCAGTTACTTTTGTTAAATGTATCTGATAGAATTCTGAATTCCTTCTCTGTGTTACCTTGAATTTCCTTGAGGTCCCTCAAAACAGCTATTTTGAATTCTTTGTAAGGTCACATGTCTCTGTTTCTCTGGGATTGGTCCCTGGCACCTTAGTTTGTTTGGTGGGGTCATGTTTTCCTGGCTGATCTCGAGACTTATGGATGTTTGCTGGTGTCTGGGCATTGAAGAGTAAGGTATTTATCGTAGTTCTTGCTGTCCGGGCTTGTTTGTTTCTGTCCTTCTTGAGGATGATTTCCAGGTATTTGAAGGGACTTGGGCCCCACGATCAATAATGCTGTGGTTTTGGGGTTTTTGTTTTTTCGTTTTTGTTTTTTGTTTTTTGTCTTTGTTTTCTTTTTGAGACAGAGTCTCACTCTGTTGCCCAGGCTGGAGTGCAGTGGCGCAATCTCGGCTCACTGCAAGCTCCGCCTCCTGGGTTCACACCATTCTCCTGCCTCAGCCTCCTGAGTAGCTGGGACTACAGGCACCCGCCACCACGCCCGGCTAATTTTTTGTATTTTCTAGTAGAGACAGGGTTTCACTGTGTTAGCCAGGATGGTCTTGATCTCCTGACCCTGTGATCCCGTCTTGGCCTCCCAGAGTGCTGGAATTACAGGCGTGAGCCACCGCGCCCAGCCGTGTTTTTGTTTTTGTTTTGAGACAGAGTTTCACTCTTGTTGTTGCCCAGGCTGTAGTGCAATGGCATGATCTCGGCTCACTACATCCTCCACCTCCCA